TCTTCCTCTTCTTCTTCTTCTTCTTCTTCTTCTTCTTCTTCTTCTTCTTCTCCTCTCAGAGCTCTCTCAGCCCCACCTCCCTCACAGGGTGCCTGTTGTGGGGAGAGAGAGGGGAAGGAGTTTGTGAGCCACTCTGAGACACCTTTGGGTAGTGAAGGGCGGGGTATAAATCCCATCTCTTCTTCTTCTTCTTCTCTCAGAGCTCTCTCAGCCCCACCAACCTCACAGGGTGTCTGTTGTGGGGAGGGGAAGGGAAAGGAGTTTGAAAGCCACTCTGAGAAACCTTTGGGTAGTGAAGGGTGGGGTATAAATCCACTCTCCTCCTCCTTATATCTTACCACCACAATGGTAGTCAATGATGAACACACGATACCCTGTTGGGGATGAATGAGGGTTCGGGTCTTGGTACAGCATGATTTCCTCAGAAGGGACAGATAGAAATGCATTTAGGACAGGACTGTCATAGATTCATGGAAGGGACCTCCAGGGTCATAGCCATCTGACAGCAATGCGGATTCGAAGAAGAAGAAGAGGAGGAGGAGGAGATTGGATTTATACCCCGCCCTTCACTACCCAAAGGAATCTCTGAGTGGCTTAGAAACTCCTTTCCCTTCCCCTCCCCTCCCCACAACAGACACCCTGTGAGGGAGGTGGGGCTGAGAGAGCTCTTGACAGAAACTGCTCTTTTTTTTCAAGAACAGCTCTGAGGGAACTTGTGACTGACCCAAAATCATCCAGCAGCTGCATGTGGAGGAGTGGGGAAGTCCAACCTGGTTCTCCCGGATTAGAGTCCGCGCACTTAACCACGACACCAAACTGGCTTAGGCAGATCATGAGAGGGAGGGCAGGAAGGGTTGCCTCAGTGCTCAGTTCTCGTGGCCCTTTCTTACCCGCCCAGGGAAATGCTGATTGCCACTTTGGGGTCAGGAAGCCATTTTCCTCCAGGCCAGTTTGGCCAGGGATCCTGGAGGATCCGGGCATGGAACAGGGGTCACTGGGTGTGTGTGGGGGGGAGGTATTTGTGCAGGGATTTGACTAGACAACCCTGCATATTAAATAGTGGCTTCCACGGATGAGCGGACTCCGAGTCTAGTGATCAGCGCTACTTTATTAGTGATTTCAGCAAGAACAAGACTAAACTTCAGGGCTGCAGCCCTGTTTAAATAGCATGCAATTGCCACACCCAAACACACCCCACTCCCAACGATAGGCTATTTACATAGCATTACTTCTTGATTGGTTACTTCCAGAGTCCTGGTGAGCTATTGTTCTTGGCAGGGGTCATTTCCTAGAAAAAGAGGTGCAGGAGCTCATTAGCATAACTCATTAGCATAACTTATTTGCGTATGCCACACCCCCTGACATCACCGGAAGTGCATCAGAAGGCAAAACCCACAGCTTAAGCTCCACTGGACAGTTTTCGATTGCTAGCTATTGGGGGGGTGGGGAATGTGCAGATCTGTCCTCGCAGAGGAGGGAGAGCTTGTACCTGAATAAAACTTGGTCTTAAAGGTGCCACTGGACTGTTTTGGACCGGGGGGGCGGGGGGGGGCTCTGCAGTTTACCTGACTGCTTCTTGCTCTGACTGAGGGCTGCTGGGAGCAGGGAGTGGGGCTTGTTGCATGTGCCCGCCCCCTGGGCTCTTTACTGCTGGAGCTCCGCTCCTGTGTGCTCCTGCAGGAAATGACCCCTGGTTCTTGGGCTCCAAGCTTAGCCAGTCTCAGACAGAACAGTCCTGAAATGTTTCAGTCCCCATACATAACACTGGAGGTCCCTTCCAACACTATGATTCTATGTTTCTGTGATTTTGTGAAACTGTGAGTTCTTCCCCTGAATTCTGTGTCTCAACACTTCTGCACAGCGACCGTCCAGAAGGAACTGGATGACGTTCTGGGACCTTCCCCTGTAATCTGCTATGACGATCGGAAAAGGCTGCCTTACACCCATGCGGTCGTTCATGAGGTCCTGCGCTACAGCAGCATCTTTAGCACCACGTTCCGACGGTGCACGAAGGACACCGTCATACAAGGCTTTCCGATCAAGAAGGTACACAACTTCTCTTCTTGGTTTCTTATCTGCATGGGGGAAGACCACGTCGTGGAGGCTCGTTCCACTTCTTTCCTGTTTTGACTGCACGTATGTACACTGGCTCAGAGTCGGAGCCGACGTCGCTCATTCGTTTATTCAAACGACCTTCTAGCCTGCCTTTCTTCCTGAGAGGAATCTTAAGGGGCTTGCAAAAAAAATCCAAAACCCAAATGATAAAAGAAATATACTAAGCACTCTAAGAGGGGGGGTCCCCAAAAGGTTTCTGTGGCGTCCGCTGACAGTTTTCATAGCACTCGCCAATAGGGTCGCCCAGGGCTTTTTTTGTAGAGAAAGCCCAGCAGGAACTCATTAGCATAATAGGCCACACCCAACAGCAGAAACATATTAGCATATTAGGCCACACCCCTGACAGTGTGGCTCATTAGCCTATTAGGCCACACCCCCATGCCTTCCCTTGGCTTTCCTGGGCACCCCACGGCTGAGGGGAGCCCGGGCAAGCCGGCCCTTGGTGTGAGAGCCAGTTTGGTGTCATGGCTAAGTGCGTGGACTCTAATCTGGGAGAACCGGGTTTGATCCCCCACTCCTCCACTTGCACCTGGCTGGATGACCTTGGGCAAGCCGAAGTTCTGATAAGAGCTGTTCTTGGAAAAGAGCAGTTTCGGTCAGAGCTCTCTCAGCCCCACCTGCCTCACAGGGTGTCTGTTGCGGGGAGGGGAAGGGAAAGGGTTTGTAAGCCGCTCTGAGACACCTTTGGGTAGTGAAGGACAGGGTTTAAATCCCATCTCTTCTTCTTCTTCTTCTCAGAGCTCTCTCAGCCCCACCTACCTCACAGGGTGTCTGTTGTGGGGAGGGGAAGGGAAAGGAGTTTGTAAGCCGCTCTGAGACTCCTTTGGGCACACCAGTTTGGTGTCGTGGTTAAGTGCGTGGACTCTAATCTTGGAGAACCGGGTTTGATTCCCCACTCCTCCACTTGCACCTGCTGGATGACCTTGGGCAAGCCATAGTTCTGTCAGAGCTGTCCTTGAAAGAGAGCAGTTTCTGTCAGAGCTCTCTCAGCCCCACCTACCTCACAGGGTGTCTGTTGTGGGGAGGGGAAGGGAAAGGAGTCTTTAAGCCGCTCTGAGACACCTTTGGGTAGTGAAGAGCGGGGTATAAATCCAATCTCTTCTTCTTCTTGGAGGGGAGGGGAGGGGAGGCAGTTTAAACTGCCTTCCCTTGGCTTGCCCAGGCACCTTCCAGGGCCCGCCCACCTCAGAGCCACGGGGGGGGGGGTTTCGCTCTCCAGGCCTTCCCTCTGTAGCCACGCACGCAGAGGTTTTGGCTGTAGTGGGCGTGGCCAACTCTGAAGCCAGCCGGAACTCCGTGCCTGTGCGTTCCTGCCCAAGAATAGCCCTGGGGTTGCCAGGCTGTATTTTCCCCCAGCGGGGGGATTTGGGAGCGTGCCGGGAGGGGGAGAGGCTGCCCCAATGCGATGACATCACACAGAGCGCTGTCATCACATCAGGGACGTTGCACCATGTGTGCATACCTCCCCCCTGCCATAGGGTTGCCAAGTCCTGACTTACCTGCCGGCGGGGGACTTTGAGTTTGCTCCCGGTGTGTGTGTGCGCGCGCAAAGCGTGCACGCGGGGGTGGGGTTTCCCCCGGGGTCCGATTCTGTGGGGGTGGAAATCGGGCCTCCAAAGCGGGGGGAAATTCGCCCCCCGGGGGGATTTGGCAGCCCTACCCCGCCATCCTCCAACCATTTAAAGGAAAACTTCCCTTTAAATGGTTGGGGAAAGCGGGACCACCCATGCCTGCCCTGTAAGCCTTTGCTGCCTGATCACCGCTTGCAGGGCGAGTGCGCGCGGCCCCCCACGTCAGAAGAGTGAGCACTGCTCGCACCTGCCCTGAGAGCCACAAGATCACCACTTGCAAAGCAAGTGTGAGCGGCTCTCGCTCTTGTGAAGCAGGAGCCCCCTGGTGCTTGGCCTGCATGTTGTGATCTCACTGCTTGTAAAGGCAGGCATGGGCGCCCCCTGCTTTAAAAGAGCAGGTGCCGCTCATGCCTGCCCTGAGCCGCTGACAACTTTTGGGCGTGCGGTCCCACCTCTTCCCAACAGCATCTCTTTGAATGCTGTTGAGAAGAGGTGGGGGGGGTGTGCAGGCGCGCACGCGTGCGGCCACCCCTCTTCCTCCCTCTTCAAGATTTAAAGGGCCAGCTGGAGGGTCCTTTAAATCTTGTAGTAGGGGGTTGCTGGGTGGTTGTTCTTGGAGGTGGGGCTTCCCCCCCGCCAGCCGGTTGGCTGGGGGTGGGAAGGAGCCCCCCCAAATTGGGAAAGCTCCCTTGGGACCAGGGGATCTGGCAACCCTACTCGCCAGGTGTTTTCAGGAAGTGGGTGGGGCCAGGTAGGTTTTTTGCCCAGTGTGACGAAATGGCTGCCAGGCCTTAAAACGGATACCAGCCTGGTAGTTCCTTATGTGTGTGTGGGGGGGTACTCCATAGGGAACAATGGAGCTGCCATACCTCCCTGCCTACACTTCCCAGCATCCCTTGGGGGGAAAGAGCGGGAAAAGAGGGACAGAGCCAAGGGGTGGGGCCAGGGAGAGAGTGACTGTTTGGCTCCTGAGGAAAAAGGTCAGTCTCAGCCTGGTCTTCTCAAGGAAGAGCGCAGGTGGGACTTCTGTCACCAGAGACTCCGGGGGCAATCCAGGCCACTATTGACCGTGGTGGAGAGCCAGGAGGGTGGCAGTGCTGGTGGCCAGTCCCGTGGAGGAGAAGGGCTGGAGTTTCTCTCCACAACCGGAGAGGAAAACGCAAATCCACTACCAAAGTAGAGAGGGTGTGTGGTAGGGACAGAAGACCTGCATTTTGATCCTGTTTGTTTTGTGTGCCCAGGTTGTGTTGAAGTGCCTGAGTTTATTTTCTATGCCCAAAAATGTATGTAGTACAATAAATCTTCCTTTGTTGAGTTTAAAAAGCCTGGTGTGCCTTAACCACATAGACTCCCCCGCTCTACACGTTACCAGGGGCAAAGGGAGGCCGGGGGACTCAAACGGGCCTAAAACCGGTGGGTTGCCAACCCTCCAGGGGGCGCCCAAACATTGAGATAACCACTTCCCAAGGTGGGAAAGTTAGCCAGAGGGGTCTCACTGTCCCTCAAGGAAGGCGGTGACTTAATTCAGTGAGTGGTGGCAGCCGGAACGAAGAGATATAGCCCCACCAGGCAGGGTGGGAAGGACAAAACGGGGCCTTGCAAGCCACAGGACGGCACCTCGGTCACCCAGGACTGAGGGTAGGTCCCCGTTTCGCCACACCCAGCATGGCTTCTGATTGACTATTGGAGGTTTGATTGGCTGAACAGATTTTTTTCCAAAATGTTTCCTTGGCCGCAGCTGCAGCCTCAGCACAGGGATCTGCACCGCGTGAAGGAAGTTGAGCTGTGCCAATCCTTTTGTGGCTGCCGCTCTGTGGCAGCCACGTTGTTGCTGTGCCTACCACGCTGTGTCGGGATTCCCAATGTGCCCGCAGGCTCAGGAAAATTGGGGACCCCTGCCCTAAAAGATTGGCTAAAATGTACAGTGTTCCAACCCTCACTCACTAGCATCATGCTAAGCAAGCAATGGCTTAGGACAATGTTTAGCAACCGAGGCCAGGATCCTCTCTTTCCTTGTCACTGCGGCTGGCAACAAAACATCCACCTGGGAAGTTCGTGCACACTTTCCCTTCCGTAGCCACTCTGTCCCCTTTGTTCCATAGCCACTTTGTCTCATGCATCAGAGGCTTTTTCAAACAAGTCAGCAATTGCTAGATTGCTATATGCAGAGTTTCCTCTCTTTTTTTGGCCGTGGTATTGGCGGATGCCAGGAGTGGCTCCTTGCCCGGCCACGGTGGCAGCAGATACCAGGAGATGTCCTGGGCCACTCTGCCATGGCAGAGCACTCTGGATGCCAGTCCAGGCTAAGCTGCCATGGCGGAGCACACCGGGAGCCACCCTGGGCCCAGCAGCTGTGATGGAGGAGGAGGAGGAGGAGGAGGAGGAGGAGAAGAAGAAGAAGAGGAGGAAGAGGAGGAGGAAGAGGAGGAAGAGGAAGAGGAGGAAGAAGAGGAAGAAGAAGAAGAGGAGGAGGAGGAGGAGGAGATTGGATTTATACCCCGCCCTTCACTTTGGAGTCTCAGAGCGGCTTACAAACTCCTTTCCCTTCCCCTCCCCACAACAGACACCCTGGGAGGTGGGTGGGGCTGAGAGAGCTGTGACACAAACTGCTCTTTTTCAAGGACAGCTGTGCCAGAGCTTGTGACTGACCCAAGGTCACACCAGCAGGTGCAAGTGGAGGAGTGGGGAATCAAACCCGGTTCTCCCAGATTAGAGTCCGCACACTTCACCACGACACCAAACTGTGGTATAAAGCCACAGTCCACCATCCAAAAAAGAGGCCAAAGACACCACAAGCTCCCATGCAGAATTTCTGTTGCCACCAGGTGGGTAGTGGGCGCCGGGAACCACTATTGAGGAAGCTGGGATCCCCCTCCACAAGTGTCCCCCCCAACACTGAGCCTTAAAGGGAATATTATAATCTTCTATTTCAACTGAAAAGTCCCAGACCCTTTAGCCTTCCCTCATAGGGAAGGTGCTCCAGCCACGTAATCATCTTGAATGATGGTTCCCCGCTTCAAGTGAAACCCAATAGAAAAAGTTAGTTTGGAATTGTTTTTTGGGGGTGGGGACTTAGAAATATGGAGCAGGTCTTGTTAGACCCCTGCCAATACTCTGACCCCGGTCACACGGGGGGGGGGAGTATGGCCAAAGTGCGGCTTTTTAAAGCCGCACCAAAAGAAACACGCGGCGGCGGGATCCCCTGAGCCACCACGCAGTTCCTCCCCGGCATGATCAGATGCCAGGGGGGAAGCTACTGAAGGGAGAGCGAGGCTGCCGAACTGTACATGTGTGCGTGTGCACAGTTCGGCAGGGAGCCTGGATTGCTTTGGACGACGGGCGCGGCGGCGATCCTACGGCCACGCTTGCTGCGGTGCTTCAGGTAAGTCCTCCTCTGTAGGAGGTTCTTTTTTGCAGCAGCTTTTCCGGGTTTAGGGACAGATCAGGGACGGGTGCGCGCCACTTCCCAGATGTTGCAGTGAGATCGCGCCCGTTTGCTGTGCCCCCGATCCGTCCCCTCTCCCGGGCCAAAATCTTCCGTGTGACCGGGGCCCGAGTTGACCAGACTAAGTCATCTAAGGGTTAATATTGTTTACAGGTGGAACCTGGGGAAGGTGGGGTTTGAGGAGGCGAAAGACCCTGGTGGGGCATAATGCCTCAGAGTCCACCTTCCAAAGCAGCCATTATTTCCGAGTGAACTGATCTTTGTTGCTGTAATTCCGGGAGATGTCCGGGCCTCACCTAGAGTTCAATGAACCTATCTAGGAAGATCCTTCTTAAGACTTTATCATGTTACGAGAACCCAGGCGTTGTTATTGGGAACTCCAGTGTTGATGGCAAGATTATCTGCTCAGGAATCGCTCAAGACCTCTGAGGTTAGCAGGAAAGCTCCAGCGCTTTCCCGATGTTCTGTCAGCATGAACAGATCATACATACCAGCCCATGCTGCTATCCAGAGGTCATTTCAGGGGGGGATCGCGGGGGACTGCAGTTCCCCCGGGTGAGGTACGGGGGGCGGGACACATCACGAAGCCCCGCCCCCTGCTTCCGGCCGCCCCACTTCTGGCCCTCATTCAGCCAGGAGGAGGCAGGAGAAGAGGGAGGGTAAGTTGCTTCCTCTCTGCCTCTCCCCATCCCTGCCTGCCTGGGGCCAGGGAGGGCCTTCGCGGGGCTTCCTTGCACGCTAATGAGTTATGCTAATGAGTTCCCCTAGCTCTTTTTCTACGAAACGACCCCTGCTTCTATCCCTGAACTAGCTGAAAGCCTTTTTGCATTCATTTTTTTCTCCCTCGTAGGGCACTACGATCGCAGCCATTTTATATTCTTCCCTGTTCGACCCTGAGCAGTGGAAGACCCCTCATCAGTTCAACCCGAATCACTTCCTGGATGAGGATGGGAATTTTGTCAGCAAGGAAGCCTTTGTGCCCTTCTCAGCAGGTGAAGGCATTGTGTGCAATAACGTCTTTTGAAACATTTTGAACAGTTCTTTAGAAGGTGGGATGGGTAAATTGTCAATCGTTGCCTAGAGTGATTACCAAGAGCCAGTTTGATGTAGTGGTTAGGCGCGCGGACTCTAATCTGGGAGGAGCGGGTTTGATTCCCTACTCCTCCACGTGCAGCTGCTGGTGTGACCTTGGATCAGTCATAAGTTCTTTCAGAGCTGTTCTCCCAAGGGCAGTTCTCGAGAGAACTCTCTCAGCCCCACCTACCTCCCAGGGTGTCAGTTGTGCTCCTCCTCCTCCTCCTTCTGTGTTTCCCATCCCAACCTGTGGGTCGGGACCCAAATGTGGGTCACGGAGCCTCTGAAGGTGGGTCATAGGCCAGCCCTCCCTAATGGCTGCCCCTGCTCTAGGGCAGGATGCTCTAGGGCAGTGCCTCCCAATCTGTGGGCTGAGACCCAAAAGTGGATTGTGCAGCCTCTCAAAGTGGGTCATGGGCCAGCTCTCCCTAAAGACCACCCCTGCCATTTCCGTGGCTCTCTTTTGTATCTTGGAAACCAAGATCAAAGCCTGGAAACAGTACCTTCCATGTCATGCATGAGTTGGTGTTTGTTTTATTCACTGCACATACATGTTGATTAAGGGAAACGGGTCCTGGTGCTCTCTGGAGTGCGTGAGAATCTTCGGAGGAATTAGAGGGAACATTGGAGAATGAGAGGGTGGCATGTAACTTCCATATGAAAGGCCGTGTTTGTCGGAATGCCACTTGCTTGGGGGTCACAGCGGTGGCAGCTGCACCCTTTGTGTGATCTTTGTTGGTTTCTCAAAAGCATCTGGTTAGCCACTGTAGAAAATGGAATGCTGAACCAAATGGGTGCCAAGATTGTGGTTTGCCTAGGACACCAAAAACCCTTGGGCTAGTCATACCAAGTAAATTTATTAGTGATTTCTAAGACCAGACTAGCACGACCAGAGCCCTGCTTAAATGTGTGCACCACACCACACCCAACACACACACACTCCTCGTCAGTGTTCCCTCCAACCCTGCGGGGCACGAGGGACGTGCTCCAATTTCCCCGGCACTCACCCGGGAGGCAGGACGAGTCGGGAGGGAGCCAGGAGCAGTGGGACAGGCATCAGTGCCGCCAACACCAAACCCCGCCAGGCCCCCGGAGAGAACTGCCGGTGTGGCCATATGGGGAAGCATTGCATGTAAGAATTAGTGGCTTTTGTTCCTCATAATGGACCAAAACACTATCAGAGGATAACAACTTTTTTACATCACAAAAAACCCCGATCTTGCTGAGTTGTTCATTGCCCCCTAGCCGGCTTATCCAAAATGGGATGCAAGAGTTCTGCTACTGTTGCCTTATGCTGCAAGAATGTATGATAGAAATTCAAAAGCCCCCCAAATTCTTGAAGTTCCTACTTAGTCTATGGCACTGGGGCCTCGTGGATTGCTTTAACCTTAGCTGGAGTAGGATGAATACCATCTGCATCAATAAGATAGCCGAGGAATTCAATCTGAGACACACTGAATACGTACTTCTCATGTTTAACATGTAGACCAGCATCTGCAAAATGATGGAACACCTCACATACCCATGTTGCAAGTTCCTTGATGGATACCCCCACTAGCAGGAGATCAGTAAATTATGGTACCACGCCTGGAATTCCCTTAAGGGTGTCCTCTATAAGATTCTGGAAAATACCAGGGGCCACACAAACCCCAAACTGAAGGTGCTTTACTCTGAAGGCCCCATGATGGGTGGTGATGGTTTGGGCATCAGCCATCGTATCATCGAACAACAACTGTCGATAGGCCGGTGCCAAATCCAATTTAGCAAAAACTCTTCCCCCTGACAGGGAAGCCAGAAGATGACTCACCACCACTGGAATTGGATATGGATGCTGCTGCAAAGCTTTGTTTATGGTGCACTTACAGTCACCACAAATGTGGATGTCCCCATTAGCCTTCACTGATGTTATAATTGGCGTCTCCCAGATAGGATGTGTCACTGGCTCTAATATACCTTGCTCCAACAGATGATCACGTTCAGGAATAATCTTTTCCCAAAGGGCAAGTGGAACACAGTGAGGTTTAATCTGAATAGGCACCACAGTAGGATCCAGAACCAAGGAAATAGGTGGGCCCTTATACTAACCAAGGCCAAATACAGTCTTAAACTCTGCAATAATATCATTAAAAGATGCACCGTTAACCTGATGGATGCCTGTGATTGTCATTCCCAAAGGCTCAAACCAGTCCAACCCAAGGAGACTCGTACGATGACCATAAGCAACCAGGAGTCATATGGTCCCACTAAATGTACTGTAGTGCACTTTAGCTTCACGGATGCCTTGTGCCTTCACCTTATTTCCCTGATAATCAGTAAGCCGAGTATGGAAAGGAGCAACCTCTGGGCCCTTATGTGGAAAAATTTGGCGATAAGTCTCTGATGACATAATAGAGAAACCTGACTCAGAGTCCACCTCCATAACACGTGGAACACCCTGGATAGTAACAGTTGCTGTGAATTTTTTTCTGTACACATGGCTGAACATGATTAACAATATTCTCTGGTTCATCCCATGACACTTGTACAGAATGTGCAGTATCATAACTCTGTGGCTTCCTTCCTACGGTTTTCCTAAAGGTGGCTTGTCTTTCTTTAGCCCTACACACTCGCTCGATATGACCAAGTCGCTTACAAAAATGACATTGATTGTACAGCCCATAAATTGGCAGGACTGCCTTTCACGATGTCCTCCGCAACTGTTGCAGCTCACAGGTGGCATTAGGAGGGACCTCTGATTTCCCACAACTGATGGGGCTTTTGTGCTGCACCCTGTGAATATCCACCACTTGCAAATCAGGATTTCAGGTCAAATGAATTTGAGAACAAGGTGCACTTTGAGCCAGCCACAGTTCCCTTGCGCTTACTGCTGCCGCCTCGACAACCAATGCCTCTTCTTAGGCATTTTGAAATGTAAGCTGTGTCTTTGCAAACAGACGCCTCTTAAAGCTTCCACATGCAATCCACAAACCAAACGATCATGCACCGTCTCCTATAAATTTGGATAATTGCAATGCTGTGCCAGCTGTCGCAGTTCAGCAATGCAGGTAGAAACACTCTCTATTGGACTCTGGTTACGCTTGTAAAAAGCATTACGTCATGCTGTCTCAGAAGGCTGTGGTGAGTAATGTTCCCCAGAACAGTCAAAATGTCCCCATAAGCAATGCTCCCTCTAAGCTGTGGAGTCTTGTGAGCAAAAATTCTACCTGTTCACGTAGCTGGAAACCCCGTGTAACTCCCTCATCCCCGCAGTCTCTTACATTCTCTTCCCAGCCTAAAAGAAGGCTTCCTCAAACAGGCCAATCATATGGACACGTCCTCCCTCCTCCTCTGCCAGTTTGGTGTAGTGTTTAAGTGTGCGGACTCTAATCTGGGAGAACCGGGTTTGATTCCCCACTCCTCCACTTGCAGCTGCTGGACGACCTTGGGCAAGCCATAGTTCTCTCAGAGCTGTTCTCTCAAGGACAGTTCTGGAAAGAGCTCTCTCTGCCCCGCCTACCTCACAGGGTGTCTGTGGTGGGGAGGGGAAGGGAAAGGAGTTTGTAAGCTGCTGAGACTCCAAATGAAGGGCGGGGTATAAGTCCAAACTACTACTACTACTACTACTCTTCTTCTCTTCCTCCTCCTCCTTTCTTCCCCAAGCTGCTTTGCTACTCCAATGGAGAAATGCCAAATGCTAAACCTTTTTTGACCCAAGGACTAGGGGGAAAGCACCATCTGCCTGTGAAGGTTCCAGCGTCCTGGCGGACGAAAGGTTGTACTTGGCAGCCTGCACTGCAAACAGCCTGAGCTCTGGCAGTGCTGCTTGCCCCAAGGGCTCTCCTGGGACTCAGATGGAGGGTTCGTGGAAGCAGGAGGTGAGGATAGGCATCATCCGTATCCATCCCCCTTCTCCCATGCTGCCAGCTGCAGTGTTACTGCTAGCACCTCAGGGGTTCGCTACAACCCTGCAGGTGGAGAACTTGCCCTACATGCCAAGCAAAAAGACTTTGACGTGCCCCAGTACCGTGCGCATGCCCAAAGTCATCTTACCCCAATATGCTGGATCAACACACGGCCGATAAAAGATGCTGTTCTCTTGTTCTCTTCCTTCCTTTCCCTCCCCCTTTCTTCAGGGCACCGTGTATGTGTGGGGGAACAGATAGCGAGAATTGAGCTCTTCATCGTTTTGAGCAGCCTGTTGCAGGAGTTTACGTTCCGAGCGCCGGAAGGTGTGAAAGAAATGAACATGAAGCGTCAGTCAAAGTCCTTCATCGTCCGGCCTCAACCGTATACCATCTGTGCTATTCCGCGTTCAGCAACAGGGAAGGAAGGCCCATGGTGAACTTGCCACCTTCGGTATTTCTGGATCCCCTTTAATTAATGCATTGCTTGCTCCTCACAGTAACTGTGTGAGGATTCCCTTTGTTTCCTTTCCGACATGCTAGGATGGCCCGGCCTCTGTTATTTCCCTCCAGTATGTCATGCGCAAATTATGGACGTTGTATAATGTGCTTATTTCTACCCCTCTCCATTCATCATTGCCAAGAACTGGAATCTGAAATCTGAAGAAGTGAGCCGTGACTCACAAAAGCTCATCCCCTGCCACCTATTTGGTTAGTCTTTAAGGCGCTACTGGACTCCTGCTCTTTTCTAGTGCTACAGACAGACTAACATGGCTACCCGTCTTAAATAAAGCTAGTTAAATGCTGGATTTCTGGAGTCTCATGTCTTCATTCTGGGGTGTGGAGGCAAGTCTCCAGATTCCACGATCTCGTGGGCAGTAGGGATGGGCATGAAACGGCTCACAAACTAAAGCTCTATTGAGATATATGTCAGAGTGATAGAGGTAGCAAGCAGTTACTATAGATCAGTTTGATCTGTTTGTCAGACCTAGCTGTCATGCTAGTAATCATGACAGGTGTTTTCTAGCAGATGTTACTCTTTCAGGGCTTGTTAGAGTTAGTGATTACATCACCATGTTAGAGATTGGCTGGGGTTTAGCATAATAGCTATCAGCTGTCAGCAAGCTGCCATTCTGTTTTCTGTGACCTCTGTGTACATATACTTTCCCTGTTGCACCCGGCTTATTTTCTATCATCCTGCTCCTGCGTTGGAATGCACAAGATAACTGCTGGAGGTTGTGTGGGGGAGACGATGCTGTAATGCTTGCCTATTGCTTTTCTCATGAGACCTGCACCTGTGTTTTGTCTGATGTTCTGCCTGGTTCCCATGGACTGGGCGCGCAACCGTTTCATTAGCCCGCCAGCGGGAATGCTATTCATTGGATCTGTATCTGTTTGAATTTCCTTTATTATGCTTGACCTAACTGTGTATCCCCAGTTCTAACAAAGAACGTGTTTGAGTATGTCTTCAACGCTTTGAAATAAATTTTGCTTTTCTTGAAAACGTGGATTTATTCTCGATGCTTGGGGATCCAACATATTGTTAGAACTCTCTTTCTCCTATCGTTCCGATTCTGGCATGATCATGAGCGGAACTGAGGGAAACCTACTTAACACGGAGGGGGACTCAGGATCGGTCCCACATACCTCCGCTCCTTTGGTGTTCACGACTGCAGCCTCGGTGGAGGGTGCCGTGGGGGGAACGATTCCCCGCCTGCCTGCACATCTGTCTTGGCCGCCTCCGACCCCTTCGCACTGGGGTCCGCGGAAGACTCAACAGCAGGATGACTGGACTATGTACAACACTCAGGGCACCCGAGAGGTGTACTCCCGTCGGGGGAGCGGATTACGTGAGAGTCTGTTTGACAAGGGATTGTTCCCGGAGCCGGGGACTACCTCGGAGAAGGGGAGTTCCAAGCAAGACCTCGAGGAGTGGATGTTCGAGCCATCGGGGCCGCGAGGCCACGCAGAGGATGAGGAGGGCACCGGAGCCTTCCAAACGGAAGAGGACTATGACCCACCCCCGGACTATCGACCTCGGGACCCCATCCCGGAGGAAACCACCGGGGAACGACTGGCAGAACTGGAATACTCGGTGAGGGACTTGTTGAGGACATTCCAGGATGTAATGGAAGCTCTGCCGGGAATGATGGACGTTAGAATGGCTAATTTCCTTGACGCACACGCCGCGCAGCAACAAGTTGTCCCTGCACCGGGAGTTCCCGCACCGCAGGTGCCTGCTCAGCCGCCGACGGGACCTCCGCTGCAAGTACCGGGAGTTCCCGCGCCGCAGGTGCCTGTCCAGCCGCCGGCGGGACCGCCTCAGCAAGGGCCTGTGCAACAGCCGATGCCGGGGGGTCCGCCGGGACCGGGTCTGCCGCCACCGATGAGGCCAATGCCAGCGGGGCCACCGGTTGGTCCGGGTCTCCCTCTCAGGGGAGTTCCGGGTCAGCTGGGACCGTTGGTAAGGCCTCCACGGCCCAGACCCAAAGATCTACTGGAGGCTACCTTTGACGGCAACCCAGATGAACTCGCTTTCTTCACGGTGAGAGTGCATAAATTCGTAGAAGAGAGCCGACACCTGTTCCGAAATGAAGCTGGCCTTATTGATGTCATCTCGGCGAGACTGAAAGGAGACGCCGCCACATGGTATGTTGGACTGCACAATGACCGCGGTCCGGAACTTTTGAATTTGCGAGCATTCATGTGGGCGCTGCGGGCGAGGTTTGAAGATGTCAACGCGAGCCAAAGAGCTAAAGCGTTTCTCCGCACCTACCGCCAGAACAAGAAGTCGGTTCGCGAGTACACACTGGAATTCCACAAGCAAGCAGCAAAGCTCCGAGACTACCCTGATCATATATTGGCTGAGATGTATCGATTGGGACTCAACGCAGACATCCGAGAAACGGTTCTGAAGACTGTCAATCCTGTCTCCCTGATGGCCTGGACCCAGGAAGCTGAAAATGCAGAAGATCGGCTCACCACCATCAAACTCGACTTGGCTGCTACGACCAACAGACCCGCCGCTGCCAGTGCCTCCAGACCCAAGACTCAACGCCTGTCGGAATCGGCACGAGAACTACGTATGAAGATGGGGCTCTGTCTCAAGTGCGGGGAGAAGGGGCATTTCGCTGTGGATTGTGGCAGCCGTCAGGTAAAAGACAAGCCGCCTACTCCAAGCCCGAAGACACCGCTGACGGGGAAGAAGGGGATGGCTAAACCGCGTTTCTCCAAAGCTCTGCAGGCGGCCCAAGGCCTGGAGGGAATCGAACCGTCTGCTGCCGAGTCAGAAGAGGAGGTGGTGGCTGAAACGGCGGAAAACGACAACGGCCTGTTGTGAGAGGCGCAAAACGACACGGCCATTCTAGCTCTGCGCCCAAGGTGGTGAGAGAAACCCCTTCCCTGTTTTTCGTGACTGTCTCGTTAATGAATCCGCTCCTGGGGACCCACGTTAGGGTGAGAGCGTTGATTGATTCTGGGTGTGGGAGGGATCTCATCAGCCCTAGAGTGTTATTGGCACTGGAAGCGGGGATAGTCCCCTTGAAGTCTCCCATCATTTTTACCCAAATGGATGGGGCACCCATGGAACCTTGTACACACGAGACTATGGCTTTGCGGTTGGGGGCTGGCGATCATTGGGAATCCAGATCCTTCATTGTTACCCCTAAATCGCAGTTTGACTTAGTACTGGGGAGTCCCTGGTTGTTTACCCATGACCCTTACATCTTGTGGGAAGAAGGGGTTGTCAAATTTGTGTCGGCTAAATGTGTAGATCACTGCTGGTTGGACTCGTGGGGGGACCAGCCGACCGCACAGTTCCCCTGCGGCGCTTTGCAGCCGGAAGAGTTAGCTTCTTTGCCTCGAGAGTATAGAGACTTGGCGAAAGTGTTTGGCGAAGATGAAGCTAACGAATTGCCCCCCCATCGCTCTACTGACTGTGCTATTGAACTTTTGCCTGACTGTAAATTACCTAAAGGTAAAATCTATGCGATGGGGCCGGCTGAGAAAGTTGAACTGCGGAACTTTATTGATAAAAACTTAGCCCGAGGTTTCATTCGCCCGGCTTCCTCCCCTTTCGCCGCGCCTGTACTTTTCCGAAAGAAGAAAGACGGGGGGCTTAGATTGTGCACTGATTATAGGGGTCTGAACGCTGTTTCTTTGTCCAATGCCTACCCCCTCCCGCTAATCAAGGACTTGGTAGCTGAGGCCACCAAGGGCAAAATCTTCTCGAAACTTGACCTCCGAGATGCATATTTCCGTGTGCGCATTCGGGAGGGGGATGAAAGTAAGACTGCATTTAATACCCCTTTGGGGCAGTTTGAGTACCTCGTTATGCCCTTCGGGCTTCAAGGGGCTCCGGGGGTCTTCATGAACCTAATCAATGAGGTCCTACATGAGTTCTTGTTCAAAGGAGTGGTCCTTTACCTTGATGACGTGTTGCTGTACTCTCAGGACCTCCCGTCGCATATTAAATTGGTGCGCCAGGTCCTTAAGCGACTTTATGAACACCACCTGTTTGCAAAGCTGTCAAAATGTGAATTCCACAAGACATGCATTGACTTTTTGGGTTATCGCATCTCTGGGGGGAAGGTGGAAATGGACCCTGCTAAAATACAGGCTGTACTTGACTGGGAACCCCCCAGGACCCGCAAACAATTGCAAATGTTCCTCGGATTCGCCAATTTTTATAGAAATTTCATCCAGAATTTCGCTCAAATTGCCCTTCCTCTGACTGATTTGCTAAAGACCAAGGGGAAGGGGTTTGATGCTACGAAACCAGGCGCCCCGCTTAAATGGTCCCCTGCTTGCGCAGAGGCTTTTGAGAAACTTAAACTGATGTTCACCTCTGAGCCAGTGCTGGCGCGCCCTGATGAAACTAAAAAATTCATTGTCCAAACTGATGCCTCGGATGTGGCAATGGGGGCCGCTATTTTGCAAGAAGGGGAAGATGGTCGTTTACACCCCCTCGCATTTGTGTCTAAAAAGTTTTCTGACGCTGAACGAAACTGGGGGATTTGGGAGAAGGAGGCATCAGCGATCCGGCTGGCTCTCTCCACTTGGAGGCAGTGGTTGGAGGGGGCGCAACTGCCATTTGAAGTCTGGACTGACCATAAAAATCTGGAAATGCTGAAATCCCCCCGTTCTCTCAACGCTAAACAACTTCGTTGGGCGGACTTCTTTGCTAAGTTTCGATTCACTCTTCGTCATTTCCCTGGGACGGCTAATTCCCTGGCTGACGCGCTCTCACGCCTCCCACAACATGACAGTCAGCGTGAAATCATCATGGACTCTGTTTTTTCCCCCTCCCACCTGGGGGGGGCTGTGGTCACCCGTGCGCAAGCGCGCTCGATTCCGCGCTCTGATGAAACTTCGCCTTCCCTTTTCCCTGGGGGGGGGGGGGCTGGGTCCAGAAATATATGTCTGCTTTTACTGCTGATGATGATGCCTCCCTGAAAGCGTTGCCAGATTGTGTCCGTAGCCCTGAAGGTCTGATTTATTCTGGAGACAAACTGTATGTGCCTATTTCAATGAGGAGGGAGGTGATGGAGTCTGCTCACGGTTCGAAACTGGCAGGGCATTGGAGTTTTGTTAAATCTCTGCAACTCATCCGCAGACAGTTCTGGTGGCCACAGATGCGCAAAGACCTCTTGACTTTTGTTCGGTCCTGCCAAACCTGTGCCTTGACTAAACC